ATGAGCACAAAAGTCAATCTGTGTGGATCTGGCTGTAGGATAAGGGTCTTTGTCAATTATTATTAGTATTATTACAATTACTTTAATAGAAGCAACACATTTATGACCAAAATTAAAGACAGTGTTGGGAGAGGAAGCATTCTTGATGTTTCTTATGACTTAGAATTCATTCCTCATTAACAAGGGTCCCCATCTGCATGCTGTCTATGCCAACTCTACTTCTAGGATTTTTTACAGCCACTTAGACAAAGGGTAAAAAGATTTCACGTATGAAAACATAGCTTCCAGGCCCTGATAGAAAGATGAGAATATTTAACAATTGCTTAATATGCTTCTCTTGGTTTGCAGGAAAACTACAAGTGGAACCATGTTTTAAACTAGCCCAGACAGCACCTTACTAATTTGCATGCCACATGTCTCAAACTGCCAAAATTCCAATGACCTTCCTTCACAGTCCAGCCTCTTGGGCCGTCTCTTTTTCCCTAAGATAGCCCATAATTTCTATCACCTTTCTCCACTGTCTCCCACTAGTGACCTCAGTAGGCTCAGCCTAAGAGTAAACCAGAAGTATTTGCACGCGGAAAAAAAATGTTTGGGGAAACATTTGTCAAAACTAGTCTTTACTCACGAATATGTTAACTAATTCAAAGTCACTCGCAATCAACTGATTCAAGGTAAAACTCTAGTGTAGCTGAGCCTCGTCAGGTCATCTAACCCTAGGGTGACCAGACAGCAAATCTGAAAAATCGGGACGGGGGTGGCAGGTAATAGGAGTCTATATAAGAAAAAGACCCCAAAATTGGGACTGTCCCTATAAAATCGGGACATCTGGTCACCCTATCTAACCCTGCTCAAAGCAGATCAGGACAACACAGCAGTTAAAATGCTTGTCTACACCCTCACTCACACTCCAACTACCAGCAGCAGCATTTGAAAATTTAAGGGAAAAAAGGCTAAGGCAGAAATTCCCAAGTTGTGGGTACGAAAGCTTGATGTTCCATCCATTCACTTCACAGCCATTTCCCACTTTTGAGGAATATGCTATTAGACCTCTATAAGAAAAGAAAACTGAGTCATGAAATTTATTATTTAAGAGAAAGAAGGAAACAATTCTAGTAACTCTAATGAACTTATTAATATAAATATAATCAAATAATTCTAGTGCTCCTGTTTTATTAGAACAGTTCCTATGCACATAATTGTGGTGAATCCACCCACCCACACACACCCTTTTCTTTAGGACAATTTTAGGATCTGGAGAAAAAAATGTTGTATAGATATACATTTGATATTCAACTAGAAAATGTTCTTTTTGGTACATGTTCCTAACTCTATTGGGCCAGATCCTCAAGTGGTGTAAAGTGGTTTAGGATCACACCAGTTATCTCACCAAAGAAGACAGACACTGTTGGACAGCTCTGAGTGACAATGACCTGATCCGGAAGGATACTGAGCACCACTAAAACAATTAGGTCAAGTTGCAGGTAGCCACTCTGTTTCAGGACTTTACTCACTGATTTCAGTGGGAGTCACAGGTCCTCCATGCCCCTTGGGACTAGGTACAAAGTCAAAATATTACCTTTTGACTCCCCCACCCCGTTGGACTCCCAAAATTTCTTCCTCCCAACCTGTAATGAAAATCATACAACTGAGATGAAAGGTATTTGAACCAGGGACACAAACATCCCACGTGAAATCTAATAAGCTATTAGGCTGAGATTTTCAAAGCTGTCTAATAGATGTAGGCAGATACCACCCACTCATTTCAATGAAAAATGTGGGTATAAATACCCTAGACTGCTCTGAAAATCTCAACTTAATATTTTATCAATGGGCAGAGGACTTCAGACTAGCCACTCATATAAGCCAATTTTACTATAAATAGCTCCCTAATGTACATTAACTTTTTTCAAAGGCTCAAACATGAAAGACAAAATCAATTAAAGGTTTAGGATTCTATGGAATTACTAGGCAGTAATAGCTATGTGTAGAGAGTACATGATGTCCATAATCCATACCTTCACATTGCCACGTTAACTCAAGATATAAATGTAGAAAATGCTCTGAGGAGGCACCAAACAACCTGAACTGCCATTCCCTTGTGATGAACAATCACCTATATAGTTTTGAAAAAGGGAAGTACATTGCATTTTTCTTCTCTGCAGCCTGAACAATGGAAATTAAATAAAAGCATGTAAGGTACATTTTCAATATTTAGATGCAGCAGAAATCCTACCAGGACCTGATTTTGCAGTCCTTACATGGGCAAATCTCTAACTGAGGTGATTGGAATTGCTAGTGTAACTAAACCCTGGTCACATATATACATTTACTGCAGTCCTCAGCTGGGAATGAACCCAAGACCAAGAGCACTGAAAACACAGGCTTCTGCTTGAGTTGAAGTCAAACTCTTGTTGAAAGTAGCAGACTGTGCAGTCATCAGTGCAAGCCACTAGGGGAGACATAATTGCATATACTAATATTAGGCCACTTCATTTCACAAAGGCTGCAGGATTATTTCTTTTGCTGACTATCTGGAAAGTGCCAGCATGCCAGTGGTTAAAATTTACCAGTAAACTTTTATTGCCCTAATAGCCCTAGCAGTTTTGGAGCATTTGCATATTTTTTTCTTAATGGGACACCTTCCACTTTAAAATAGTTTGAACTCATTTCATAAAATTAATTCAAACATAGTTTCGGTACTACATCTGCCTGGGTCACACTGACAAATGTTGGAATTTTACAGTCACATTTTCCTCTTTGTCAATTGTTTTTCTCACCCCAGTCGCTCTGTGAAAGTCACGACAGGGGAAACTCAGCATGGCTTTGATCCTCCAAGGCACACTGTGCAGATGAACATACGCCTGTATAGTGCACCACCCAGGACATCCAGGATTGGGGCCTCACTAGCTAACACCTACTGAACTCACTTACTTGCACTAAGTAGTATCTTTGGCCTCAATTTTTAAAGATATTTAGTGATTTTCAAAAGCACCTAGGCATCTACCTCCCATTGAGTTCAATAGAATTACTCACGTGGGTAAGTGCTCATCAACATAAAGGTTGGATAATCTAGCTTGCAGTTCCTGAGCCTGTAAAGATTTACACATAAGCCCATTCACATGAATACAGCTAATGAACATGTACATAAATATTTGTAGGACTGATTCCTTAGGGCTTGTCTACACTGGCAATTTACATTGCTGCAATTTTCTTGCTCAGGAGGTGTGAAAAAAAACACTCCCCTGAGTGCAGCAAGTTTTAGCGCTGTAAAGCGCCAGTGTAGACAGTGCACCAGTGCTGGGAGCTATGGCCCTCATGGAGATGGGTTTTTTAGAGCGCTCTGCCGCAACCACACAAGCCACATTAAAGCGCTGCTGTGGCAGCAGCGCTTTAGCATTGCCAGTGTAGACTAGCCCTAAATTTGTAAATTCATAAGGATTAAGGCCATGTCTACATTAGAAAATTAGGTCAGCATAACTACATCACTCAGGGGTGTGAAAAATCCACATCCTTAAGCAGCAAAGTTCTATCAATATAAGTCGCTGTTGAGACAGCACTAGGTCGAGGGAAGAATTTTCCAGTCAACTCCGCTACTGCCTCTCGGGGAGGAGTATTACCTATGCTGATAGGAGAAACCCTCCTTGTAGGTGCACGGTAGTGTCTACAGTGAAGCACTACAGCTGCACAGCTGTAGCATTTTAAGTGTAAACAAACTCTAACATGCGGTCTTTTTTGCTTTTCGGTAAGGCCTTGATTCTGAAAACACACATATGCTTAGCTTTGGGAATATGAATAACCCGACTGATTTCCTATATTTCATTGGGACTATTCACATGTTAAATACATGTACATTTGAAGGAGTGGAGTCTAACATGTCTACCATACTGCTGGCTGCTATAAAAATAATAATATTGTGAACACTATTACACTACACAGCTTGTCGATTTTAAAAAATGACCTAAAAAAACCTTCTCCATCTCTAATATCTATGTTTTTAAACTGCTCTAATTTGGGGAGAGGGGGATTGTTTTTGGCAAGAACTGATTTTTTGTACCTTGCCAAAAGAACTACAATTCATACAATATCAGGGTTGAAAGAGACCTCAGGAAGTCATCTAATCCAGTGGTCTCCAATTTTTTTTGATCGTGCACCCTCTGCTGCGCCGGCTCTACCATTTTTGCCAAAGCAAAAAAAAAAAGACCGCTCGGACTCCCGCCTGAACTGCCGAAGCACCAAAAAAAAAAAAAAAAAAAGACTCTCCTCCTGCTATGTACCCTCAGAGATCCTCTTGTGCACACCCCACTTTGGAGACCACTGATCTAGTCCAACCCACTGCTCAAAGCAGGACTAATCACCAAATTTTTGCCCCATCCCTAAATGGCTCCCTCAAGGATTGAACTCAAAACCCTCCGTTTAGCAGGCTATTACTCTAACCACTGAGTTATCCCTACCCCAACCCACATAGTCTTTTCTGTTGGCCTCCTAATGGTTGATCTGAAGTAGATGTGGCCCTGAATTAAACAGCCAAATCTGAATTCCTTAACCTTCACAGCCAAAGCAGACTCCTTAAGCTCAATTATACCCGTTCCCAAGTGGGGAAATGCAGCACCAACACTAAACTGATCCAAGTATACATTCAGCGGGTCAGACCCAGCTATAACTTGTAGGCAATTCAGGCAGGAGAACTGTCCAGCCTCACTGTAAATCACGGAAATACTGACTTTTCCAGGCCAGACGTTCTTCAAGCATATGATCTGAAACGCCTACGGTAAAGCCCCTTGCTGAAAAGCCCCGGGGAGCGTCGGGCAGGTGAGCTAGGTCCCGGGGACTCTCCTGTGGGCAGCCCCCGGAACAATTTAGCCACTGTAGAGCACAAAGGCAGCAAAGAAGAAAAGGTGAGAGAGAAAACTTGTTGCAGCAGAGGCAGGGCGGGCTAGGTGGGGCTTCTCGGGCAGCCACTGAGCGCCGCCGTGTGCGTGGAAAGGCGGGGCTCTTACCTGCGCAGCCTGGGATTGACTGGCAAGGTGCCTGCAGTGCAGCTTGTTCACTAGCGGCGGCTCCCGGTTAGCGTTACACAACGACGGGCAAGCGCACGCGTTCCTCTGCCCCCCTCCCTGCGCTTCCCCGGACCGCCTCTCGCAACAGCTGCGCGCCGTGCCCGGCAAGACTGGGCAAGCGGGCAGCCCTCCCGGCTGGTTCGAACACCGCCGAGCGCTTCTTGTTGTGGGGAAAGTCCTGGCTGTTCCTACCCAGACAGCTCCCAGCGTCTCTCCCACGGCACACGGCAGCTCCTCTGGCCGACCAACTCTGTGCTCCCTCTAGTGGGGATCCGGCATGCAGCCGCCTCTCATTCATCAGGAGGGCTCAATGGAGCCCAGCTTTGCAAAGCTGCACCTCCCTAGCTTTTTGTTCTCGGGCAGGACGGTAATTCACCGATCCGTCCGCTTTACTTGCGTCACTGAAATTACACGAAAGTGGAGAAAATGTTGAATGCAACTAATTCCCTCTAGCCCGCGATCTCAACACCACCACCCTGCGCAGATATCTCGGAAACAACAGCAGTCTAATTAAACAGGCAGTGCAATGGTTCTAGATAGTCTAGTGGGCTTTCAAAGGAAGATGTTAGATTAACTATAGACTTGCCTTACTAATAAATTAGCTGTGGTTAATTTTCTTGTGTGTGTATATATATTATAGATAGATAGATCTCTACATATAAAGAGAATAGGTGAAGGTGTAATACACCATCCACTTTATTTTCATGAGATAGATGCTCATCTAATTCACAAAGCTGGTATATGTAAAAGAGGATGTGCAGACAGACCAGATAGAGGTCGTACAAGACTTTTTGCTATGTGAATGCTCATGCAAATAATACAATTTACCACGGCTGCCCAAAGCAATTTCAGGGGCCCCTTCCATAAAAAAAAGTTACAATACTATAGAATACTATATTCTCGTGGGGGCCCTGCAGAGCCTAGGGCCTGGGGCAAATTGCCCCACTTGCCCCCCGTCTGGGCGGCCCTGCAATTTACTGCGGAGATTTATTTCTCATAGATAAAACCATGCAAAATAGGTTCTGCATACACGTGTGAATATAGGGTTTTGTGTGTGTGCGCGCGCGCCTATATATGTTTTGGCATAAAATACACAGTAAGGAATGTGGCAGTTTTTGAAACCAATTATTTCACCCAGTGCCTGCCAATACAGAGAAGAGGGGATTGTGTCATTACTATAACAGACAATGCCCATAAACCAAACGTTGGGTTGTTTTCAGACACCGTCCCATATGTTAATTGAACTTAAATAAAAACACTATCCGTATCCAGTGCTAAGTACTGATGCTCTCGAAGTTGTACAGCGCTATAGCGCCTCCGACTCATTGTATACCCTCTACCTTAAACAAATGAAGTTCTGACTGTCACATGAATGACAGTGTAACCACAGTCCTAGCAACGACGCCGGAGCTTTCCTTCCCCCTTTCTTTTTGTTATTGTTTTTTAGTACATTACACCTCACTGCATCATGCTGATCCCCTGGACACACACGCACACACAAAATCAGAGTGCTACTCATTCCATTGTGTAGAGGACAAGTATGTCCCGAGCAGATAGCTGGTGTCTGAGGTACACCGCGTTCCACTTATTATCGCAGCCACTAATTTGGGGGAGGAGGTGGTGTGGCTAGTACTAGAACATGGTGTATGATCGTGTTTACGCAGCAGCCCGTACCCAAAATAATACCCCCTCCTTCGGCCGACAAGTGGTAGGCGATTGGATTAACTACAATGCAAAGGAAAGGGAGGGGGCGTTTTTAACTTCTATTTAGTTCTACTGCAAAAAAAAAATACCACCTGAAAGTTTGTATTTTCTTCTAAAACTCAACCTCAGGGGGCTTCAGTTCAATCCAGCGTAACCAGTCAGCTCGCCTGAGGGTCCCACGTAGCTTTTTGTTTTGTCTGCCCGAGTGTCTCGCACGTACTAAGTGTGGTTACTTTGTACGAAGGAGCCTCTTACAAAAATCAGTGGCCCAGCGGCCCTAGGAGGGAGTGCGCTAGGCAGCACTGGGGTGGCGAGGCCGGGCCGAAGCAGCAGCGGGAATAGCAGTTGTAACAGTAATAGAGCGGCGGCGGCTTTGCTTGCAGTTGCAGTGCAAGTCGTCCACCTCCCCCTCTGGCTTGCTCGGTGCCGTTGCCCTTTTGAATGCCTCCTGCGGCTCAGAGTGCTGGCAGGGCGCTGGGAGTGTGAGTGAATGTAGCCCCGCAGAGCCAATGAGCTGGGACCGGATGCGATATATCCTCTGGGACAACAACTGCTCTGTTCCTCCTCAGATCCACATGACGCCATTTACTGCTGCTTTTGCAGAGAGATCACCCTACCTCCTCCGGAAAGGAAAAGAGAGAGAGGGAGCGCGAGCAGAAAAACGCCAAGCCCCTGCAGCTCAGATCTCAAATCTTCCTCCTCCTCCAAACACACAACAACAGGCACCACCACAAATCCGCTGCGCTTCCAAAACACCCCCTGATTGCAAACCACAGCGCTGCCTGCAACACTCACACGCTCACAGAGGGAGCGAGAAAGCTAGAGAGAGAGAGGAGGGGAGCTTGCAGCTTCTCAGCAGAACGGCTACATTGCATAGGCTGCTTTTTTGGAGGAGCTCAGTAGAAGAAAAGCTTTGGGATTGTATTTTAGATCCACTTTATTGTGTTTGCTTTGGCTTCTCCCTCCCCTCCCGCCCCTTGATCATTTGCAACAACAAAAAAAAGTGACTTGTATTGGCGATTGAGAAAGGGGGGAAGAGGAAACAGTGTATGAGTGATTTCTTTTTAGGAGCAAAGAAATACCCACCCGACCTGGAGACCTTTCATATAGGTTTATATTTATAATCGATCTGGGGGACAGTGAGGTCACTTTGCTCTGGATTTTTTGAGATGATGGTGATGATGATTTGCAAGTTGGACTAAAGCTGAGTTTGGAAAAGATTTTTTTTATTTTTATTTTTTTACCTTTTTTTTTGTCTGCTGCTTTAGGCTGGATTTACTTGCAAACCGCAGGAAGAAGAAAACACGAGAGAGAGGGGGGGGTTGGTGCAGTGCCGCGATCACGGTGAGAGCATTTTCCTTCTTTGCAAAACAAGCTTTTTTTAATAACCCAGATTGTTCCGAGGAGCTCGTGGAAATGTAGGTGTAAGGTCGATCCCTTTTCAATCCGTGAACCTATTCTCCCACCCCCACCCCCACCCCCACCCCACCCCAGGAGTTGGAAGTGGAATTTCAGCGAGATTTTTTTCTTTCTTGGGGAAGTTCGGCGGGGAGAGAGGGGAGCATCGGATGGTTTCTGAGGGCTGTTTCGTGTTTGTTTCCCCTCAGAAATGACTTTGCGGGGAGGAGCCCCGCCCCCCCCCTCAGCTCCGCGCCATTGGGCGGCGGGGGTGAGTTTAGAGGGCGGAAATCTGTACTCAGGTTTGAGCATTTGCAGGGAGCAATGTCTACGAAATATTACAAGGACTCGAAGCAACTCAGTGACTTCTTTGCAAACAGTATTCTTCTACGGTCGCGGGAATATGCCCCTGAAAGGTAGAGACGAGGAAGCCCTGGGTGTATCGTGTCTCAAAGCATTAATGGGTTTGGGGTAGGATTTGGGGGGGTTGTTTATTTGTATCGCCTTTGGGTTGCTTGGTCCCTGTACTTGGTGCGTTTAGCCATCTCTGTTTAAATGGAAGACTGACACTATTCTTTAAGTGCATTGAGAGACTTGTGCAATTCGGAAGTGAGCTCACGCCTGCTATAAATATATTTTCCATGCGATAAAGTTAAATAGATCGTCGATATGATAGGGAGTAAATTCTTCCCCGGGTTTCGTTATATGGTGTGTAGGACTGAAGCAGTTTGGGGGGAGGAGGGCACGGAAAGGCTTAATATGTGTGGTGGTGGTTTACTTTGCAACAGCCTCTGAAAGTTGCTGGTGTTTGCAGCAAGCTATTTGTGTGTCAGTTTGCCCCACCCCGATGGTGAAGTCCCTTTTGCCCTAATCCATAGTCTGATCACACACTCAGCCCTTAATGGGGGTTTCAAAGCACTTTCAAAGAAGAAGAGGTGGTTGGTGTGTGCGCGATGGAGATGGGGTGGGGGAGTGCTGCAAAGACTCCTGAGACAAAACAGAAATTCATGGGCAGAGAACTTTTTCCCCCTTAGGCTTCCCTTCTCCCAGCCAACACGACATGGGTTTTTCCACAGCATACAAGGAGCACTTTGCGTTTTAAACTTCCCCATGCGTGCACAGGATAAAACCCAGCCCCTTTCTCCCCTTTCCCCAATCCCAGTTAGCAAGAGTTAGCAAATCATGGCATTTCTGCTCAGCAAGTGAGTGGACTTCGGTTTTTGGAAGCGGTGAATCGCGTTATCTCTCTCTCTCTCAAAAAAAGGAGCAAATGTTTCTCTTGCTATGCTCTTATTCGGTAGGTGGAAAAAAGGGGGTGGGTGGGAAGGAGGGAAGCATTGAGATCAACCGAGATTAGAGAGAGGGAGAGGGGAGAGTCCTGTTTCCCTGAAAGAACTACACGAAAACATACATGCAAAAATAAGAGTGCTGTAGGTCTGCATCTTGCTGTTAGCGGATCTTTCCAGAGCTCTCGGTGTAATAAAATGCAAGGGCTGTTTGTTATTCTACAATTTCTGTGGGTTCCACTTTGTAATTCCTAATCTGGGAATGTGGCTGAAATTTACACAAAACAGGTAAAATAGTAGTAGCACTGGCGAGGTTTCCCACAGCTGACTTCCTGGAATTGGAACTGGTGCTTAATGGTAGCCCTTGAAGGGGAAACCTGCACTTTACTACACTATCTTGGAGGTGTTCTCTCAAATGAGAAGTAATGCGGGAAGCTTTATATAACTCTGACTCCTCCAGCATCTCCTGGGGGTAGGGGGTGGATACACAATAGTTAAAAGGAAGCATGGGCTTGACTTTCCTGATAAGGCAACTTTAGAAGTCGCCTCCCTCCTCCACCCTAGAGGATGTCGCCTGTTTATCTCCAGGTTGTCTGCATTTGTGAGGCTGCTTGTTTCATTTGCAATATCAGTCAGTCCTGAGAGAATGAAGGGATTGCTGCGCCCCACCTGCTGAGCACGTTGTTCTGGGCAAAGATGAAGCCTATAAAAGGAAAGGAAGAAAAGAGCAGTGTTTTCTTCTGCAGCTTTTACCTTGTTGTTTGAAGGGGTTCAGTTTCGAAGACCCTTATCTTTCGAAGAACCTGCCCGTCAGGGTCAGTCGAACTTTTAGACAGAGGCAAAAACATCTCTCCTTTGCTCTTTGAATTTAGTTTACATCTAGAATTGGAAGAAGAGGGGTATGTGATGTTGCAAATTCCTTTCAAGGTAGGAAGCACCTTGATTTAACCTTGTTATCTTTAAATAGCTTCCAATAAGGGCATGTCTGTTCTGGGCATTGG